AGGTAAGCCTGTGACCGTTTACTAATCTGAAAATACCGTTAACTTCTTCTTCTTCTCCTTTTTAATCTGTAGGCATTTCTGAGAAGCACATGACGTTTGTCTTTGAATAGAAGATCCGGCTGAATGACAGTCTCTTTCAGTTAGTACAGGGGTTTTTACTTCAAATCTTGCTGACAGGTTTTCATGACAGCCCTCAAATGGAAGGCTGAGTTCGCTTGTCACAGCTATTAAGAGTGGGATTTTTTTCCTTTTGGTGTATTTATGTGATCTGACCCTTCATTTATTATTGCTATTATTGATCTTAAATGTATAAAGGAGGGGAGTATAGACAAAGCCTCTCTTTTTGAAGGCTTTCTGTAATCTAGCAGCAAAGTCAATTCACTGTTGAATTTTCCTCTTAAGAAAATCATCATCATAATGTGGCAGAATCTTGCTAATTTTCACTTCATACTTGAAACCCCTTTAATTCTCAGGAGAACAAGAACACCTGGTAGATTTTATTCACTATCAGCAAAGATTTAATGGCAGGAAAATGGTGTTCAGACTTTTTTTCTATCAAAAAGCATTAAAATAGATAAGTTCAAGATAGCAACATAATTGTGATCCAAAGTCTTGATGATGTTTTATTTATAGTCTGTTTTAATATTTATGTTTTAATATTAAATTCATCAATAAAATAATATTCTAAGATTAGAGTAGATAGCTTCTATCTAAAGGCACGGGGTATCAGAAGTTTTCTACTTTTGATATTGGGAAGCCAAGATACAGCATTTTGTGTAAACTTTTCCCCAGTTTTAGTTATTTGCCCTGGGGCTGAATCCTGGATAACAAGGACAGGGTATATGTGGAAGAATTACTCCTTAGAATGTATATTTGAATTCTATTTATGACAAAGCTATTAATTTTTACAAAAATTGCTCCTCAAATCCTAGCTAAAAACCAAAGACTGTCTTCTAAATTCATTAATCTTCTCAACATCCAATCCCATATTCAACAAATAACAGCATACAGTTTGAGGGACATGTTCTATGTAAACTAGAGGACAGATTTCTTTTATGACAATGGGGCCATTCTAAGAATGCCTTTATAATAGTGCAGCTCTTTCCGTTAGGTTATAGTTTAGAGATTCTTATTAGCAACATGAAGTCACTGCTAGAACTTAATATTAAACATGTTATTTGATTTAAATGAATAATTACTATTGAAACTATTACTCCCAAATTTTTAAATAGAAGCTCATGTTGGAAAACAGCAACCAAAGTTTTAAGATGAAAATAATTACATGTGTCCATGTGTTTTCTTTTAAAATTCCACATATTATATCTAGACAAATTATGTTTTCTTGTCATAAAGAAATTTTACTATAATTATCATTTGTTACTCCATAAGTAACTAGATCATTTTAGCAGCATGGTCCTTACAAAAAGCATTTGTACTTTAGGCAAATTATTTTCAGCAGGCCAGTTTGGTATATTTTGGGTTCGTGTTGTAAATTATGCTAATTTTCAGGAGGAGAAATTATGCTAATTTCTTATGGGATGCTTATAGTATTCTTACAATTGTTAAATTCAAAAGAGAATGTTGGTATAACATATTATCTGTTAATTTTACTCAACTTGATAATGTTTTTTATGATTCATGATCTTCCTAGGTACACAACTAGTTTTGCTCTACCATTTGTGGTTGATAGAGTTGTGCTCTTTTTAGAATGAATATATATATAAAATAACAGTGTTTGCAGTTGTTTCTTGTAATCTCTTTTAAGGTTTTTTGTTTTGAAAGTGTAAATAATTTTTAGCTATGATGATATATTCATGTATATTTTAAATCTCACTTTCTCATGAAGGTAAAGATATAGTCATTCTTAAATGAATAACTTGGTTTATTAAGAGAGACACAGTCAAAAGTCAGGAATTCGTTTGTTATCCTTCTGTAGCTGTTAGGACAGCAGCATTAATCAGGCCAACTAACCTTTAAAAGAACATATAAAGTCAAAGATGTCAGCTTGTACCAGTAAATATTCCCAAGCAAAGTTTTTATATCAGAGACTGGAACTTTCCAAGATGCCCCTGGGATTTCGTGTGCTCTAACATCTATTAATGCCTGATACCTTAGGTGACTTGTCAGAGAAGGGCTACATTTACAAGGAGCGTGCAAGGAGGCCCAAGAGGACAAATTCAGCTAAAGGTCAAGGAAGCAATTAATGTTCTCTGCTTTTCCCTAAAGAACTTCCTCAGCAAACCTTACCCTCTCCCGGTCCCCTGCATCTTAGCAAAGCAAGTGCATATAGTGAAATGAAAGTTAAAGTTCAAATAAAACATATTACCAATATTACTTGGTTCTCAGAGCCCTTCCTGAATGCGAACGCATGCAGTTATCTAAAAGGTACAGAGAAGATACCAGAAGAGATGGCTTTTGCTGATAGAGCAATGTTTTTTAATCTCTTTGTTTTTTCTATATCTGTGTAGAGAGTCAATGTTTGCAGTAGGATGGAGCTGGGTGGTGGGCTGGACCCCTCCTGTGGGGTGAGGTTAAGCTGGTGTTTTTGGAGAATGCATGGTTCTGTCTGGATTCTAAGTGGGCTACACACACACACACACAAATCCATGTCCTAGTCCTTAAAATTTGCTAAATCTTTTGCGTTCCCTCATGTTTTTTCTTCTTTATAATGAACATGTCGATCTCCCCAAACAGTTCCCCTCATAAGGTTGAGTTTCAAAGTTTACCACCTTGTCAGTTGCTATAATTTCTCAGTACCTCTGAAGTGGGACTTCCTCAGAACATTGCCCTCATCTGGAAATGGTACTGTCAACATGGCCTGGGTTTAATAGCTTTTTTGGTGGTTGTTTTATCCTTTGGACTCATTGAACTTGTGACCAATTAAATCTCTGTATTTGTTTCCCTTTTCAAAGAATGCTGCCAAACTCAGACTAAATACAGTCTTTACATTTGCCTTTTTAAAATTTCACATTAAGTCCGATCCACCCTCACCTCATCAAGATATTTTGATCACACTGAGCTTTCTAGCACCCTCGTGGTGCTCATCACATTTCTATCATCTGAAGACTTGATCGTACTCAGTGTCATCAGTCCAACCAATCATGAAAACCTGCATCAGGGCAGAGCTGAGAACATACCAGTCATTAGGAAGGCATGTCCAGGGAGTGTCAAAGCCAAGTGTGTTGGGGGTACCGTGGAAAAACTCTTTCATCCAGTCCAATAATTCTTCCTGGGGATGTTGTGAAGCTACATTGCTGAAGCTCAGATAAATTGTGTCCATGAATTTGAAGTTTTCCCGTGTCTGTCTGTCTGGCTACTACACGTCCAGTGTACCTGGTGCACAGAATAACTGGGATAGCCCTGTGTAGCCAATACAAATAGTTCTGATTACATATTCCATCACTACTCTTTCTCTTTTTCCTTTTTTTTGAGACAGAGTCTCACTATGTCACCCTCGGTAGGGTGCCGAGGTGTCGCATCTCACAGCAACCTCAAACTCCGGGCCCAAGCAATTCTCCCGCCTCAGCCTCCCAAGCAGGTGGGACTACAGGTGGCTGCTACAACGCCCGGCCATTTTTTTTTTTGGCTGTAGTTGTCACTGTTGTTTGGCAGGCCTGGGCTGCGTTCCAACCCGCCAGCTCCGGTGCACATGGCAGGTCCCCCAGCTGCTGAGCCACTGCTCTTTCTCTTATCCTGTGTGAACTGATTGGTGGGCCTCAATACATGTGCTTTAAAAACATCTACCAGTCATCATCTGTTTGATGCAGCACAAATGGATAGTGGTGATTTCAACTTTAGTAAAAATCAGAGAGATGTTACCACCCTGATGCCTGAAATGTTAGCTTTTGAGTTATTTCAAATAGTTTACCTTATTGCTGTATGTTATCTAAAGTCAGCGGTTATTCAGAAGTAGCTTAGACTGAGTAGAAATGCCGTGTTTCCATCAGGGATCTTTTTCACGGATTCACTAATAGCCCTAGCCTTTTTTCTTTTTGTCTTTCAGAGATCAGAGCAGCTTATGATGACGAGCAGGTGGTCACAGAGATCAGGGCCAGATGTTTCATTCCCACTCTGATAACAACCACTCCCTGGGAAGGTTTTCATTTTGTTGGCCATGAGATTCGGATTACCGAAGCCACGGATTGTTACGGTGCTGTCGTTTGGCCATCGGTATCATCCTCGTTATTTTCCAGCCAGTTAGGTTCATTACGATGTTCTACGTGGAAGAGGGAAGCAGGCTGCATACTCTGACTTCATGACCTCAGATAACACTATCTTAGAAATCGTGTGATTAGGATATTGCTTCCCCCAATTAATTCGAGTTCTGACTTTATTGGTGTTTGTAAGAATGATAATGTTTTTATTCCTTCAGTTTTTTTTATGAGTTTAGAATAGTAAAAAGTTGTTTTTCCCATTTTTCTGGTTCCATTTGAGCTAAATAATTACAATGAAGTGTCTGAGTCTCACACGCAGAGTGTTCTGAAAGGTCCTCACTCCTTTACCAACAGACCCATGAAAGGCATAGTGGACCTCCCACCATCGCCTGCCCCAATCCTGCACTTTACTTAGAAACGACCAGTGGTCTGGCTTGGCACCCATTGTTTAGTGGTTAGGGCGCCAGCCACATACACCAGGGCTGTTGGGTTCGAACCCGGCCTGGGCCTGCTAAACAAAAAGTAGCCAGGTGTTGTGGCGGGCACTTGTAGTCCCAGCTACACAGGGAGGCTGAGGCAAAGGAATTCCTTGAGCCCAAGAAGTTGCTGTGAGCTCTGACAGCACAGCACTCTACCAAGAGTGACACAATGAGACTCTGTCTCAAAAAAAAGACCAGTGGTATTAGAAGGTTTTCCTTTAAAGATTATCAACCCTAAACAATTACATATTTTTAGTTATTTCTCTTTTCTTCACAACAAATCCCAAGCCCTCTTTCTTGCTAAAATGTTGACCCTTTCAGAGGAAGTAGTTCTGACAGTTTTTTGGAGTGATGTGTACACACACAAATGCACTCATGTGCTCACATGTGCACACGTAGCATCACACTAGCTGTGTATTTATCTAATAGAATTTAATCTCACTTTCTGTTACTACTTGCTCAGCACCACATCTTTCTTTTTTTAAACTCCTGTAGGCCCTTGTTCTATGCTATTTCCTGGAAACAAATGCAAAGCAGTATAATATGACTGACAAAAACGTGATTGAAATTGGAGCCGGAACAGGGCTGGTCTCCATTGTGGCAAGTTTACTCGGTAAGTAGGTCTTTCTGATTGAAGAGTGGTCAGGGAATCTAATCATCAACTATCATGAACTGTTTTACTGTCCAGTGTAAGGTTTTAGTTGTTTGAATGGGCTTCACAAAGTCTACCAATTTTTAAGTCTCCTAACTAGCTCCTTAAGGATTTTCTGAGTAAGTTGTGTTCTTTTTGTAAAGCACTAGATCACAGGCCTTCGATGAAGTTCTAAATGGGAGGTGCACGTGAGCCTTCTGGTCCCTCAAGGAGACGTGTGAAGCATGAGGCAGAGACAGGGTCTGTCACTGCTGATTCTGATGCACTTTAGAATTTAGCTCTGCTTGAATGTTCCCTGTAGCTGGAGGTTCCTTTCGGATTTTGAAGCACTATGCTTTTATGAAAAAGCACCTGTTAGAATAGCGAAGAAGTATTTGAGATCACATAAAAATCACATATCCATTTCTATTTTTAGGGGTTTGTCCTTGAATTTATTTTCTCAGTTCATTTCCATTCCTTTTTTCCGCCCCCTGCTGCTCTCACCAGCATCTTTTCCGACCAAGCGTGTGGTAGCCTCTGTATATGCCGGTGCCTGTTTCAGTTCAATCTTTTCTGGCTGTTGTTGTTATCTATTTCATTGCCTTAATTTGCTGCCTGCTCTCATGGGCACTACCCAAATCTGTCTTGATTTCCTTGATCTTCAGCAGTGCACACCTGCCACTCTAGAATCTTGAGAGGAATTCAAGATTTACCAATTTGCAACTTTCTAAACACTGGAGAGACATAGGACCCTTGAAGTCTTCCCAAATATGTATTTCTTTGAACTGCTCTCTCAGGATAATGCTTTCCAAAGTCTCTACCCCATATAGAATGGAGAGACTACGTGGAGTTGACCTTTGATTTATACCTGAAAGTCTCTTGATTTAGGAGGAGAATTTGTTCTGAGAAGTCATTTGTTTCATTTAAAAGCATTGATTCCTTTGTTCTGTTTGTCTGACTTGAAACAAATATCAAAAGGTAAAAGCTTTATTGAGTCAGTGTTCTGAAATTGGTATTTACCTCTCTAGACACCAAGATATGCGTATAATGGTCAAATGATTTACATTTAACATAGGTGGAGGTATATTCCTTATCCTGGGATTTTAAAAAGATTTGTTGAAAATGATAAACCTACCCACACTAGAATATAAAGGCTTATATTTCTGTGATTCCATCAATAACATGCATATTTCCCTTTCATTTTAATATTTTCACAAAATACAACCCAGGCTAAGAGACAGGTGGCATCGTGGCCAAGGAATGGGTTCAAGTTTGGTCAAAGCTCAACTAGACTTATTGTCTTCCAGTTCTGCCTTCCCGTTCTCTACCTGGTCTGCGCTAGTCTGATGCAGTGGGAGTGGCCAAGCCTAGATTTATTTACAGATTTTTTTTTTCAGACTCTGCTTCTGTTCAACATTAACTTTAATTCCTACAAATTTTCTCCTGCCAAATTTCTTCTTGACAATGACCACCACTGTGTACTTTTACCTTGGAATTTGTTTATTTCCTCTTTATCTAAGCATTCTGTCCTGTTTCTGGGACCTTTGGCTGTCTGAGCCTTCTATGCATGTTGCATCCAGATTTTAAGCATCTTTTGCTGGGAAGACTAATACTCATGGTGGAGTCACGCTGACCACTCAGGTGTAAACATGGATGTCACGACACTTTCCATGCGATGCCATTGAAAGCCTTCCTTCCTCCCACCCCTTGGCATATGCAACCTCTTCTGGGTCAGCTATAGAATGCCCGGTGGGATATACACGCGTCTGACCCACATGACTGAGTTCTTTCAGGGAAGTCTTGTATCAGTGACTTCTAATTGTTCCCAGTGAGAGTAGCAAATATTTTGCGTTTCTCTTTCTATTATTTTTCTCCTAGCATGTAGTAAATAGAAAACAGCGATCGTAAAACAAATCACACACAAAAGATGGCAGGAGAATGAAGAAATGCAGTGGTGTGCCGAGTACCACGAGGCTGTATTATTTTTTTAACAGAGACTTACAGCCTCAGCATCTAGATTCCCTTTCTGTGTGCTCCCCTGACTGGTCCTTTACTTGGGACTAACAGTTGTGCAGAATTACCGTGTGGTGTTGGCTGAAAACTTTCATTGTGTTCGCTTATCCCAAGAGGGTTACTTCTTCTTCTGTCCTTTGTTTTACAGGTGCTCACGTGACTGCCACAGATTTACCTGAATTACTTGGAAACCTGCAGTATAATATTTCCCACAACACCAAAATGAAGAGCAAGCACTTGCCTCAGGTGAAAGAACTCTCCTGGGGAGTAGCGTTAGATAAAAACTTCCCCAGGTCTCGCAGTAATTTTGACTATATCCTGGCAGCGGATGTGGTCTACGCTCATCCTTTCTTGGAAGAACTCCTTGTTACCTTTGACCATCTGTGCAAAGAAACCACTGTCATCCTCTGGGTCATGAAATTCAGGTTGGAGAAAGAGAATAAATTTGTAGATAGATTTAAGGAGTTGTTTGACCTGGAGGAAATTTCCAGTTTTCCTAGCCTGGATATTAAGTTGTATAAAGCTATGAAGAAAAGTAGAAGGAGTGCATGATGTCCCGGACCCGGACAATGAAGTGTGAAGGCGACTTCCAGCCAACTGTCACTGTAAAGAAAACCCTAATAATCGTATATACCACTGACTTTCCCCTATGGAAACACACACACTTCCCTTGCTATGACATAGAAAAGAGTTTCCTAAAGTTGGCTCACCCTCGCAGGGAGGGATCTTTCCAGACAGAAGGCGGGTCTGCAGGATTACAGGTAACTTGCTCCCAGGGAGTGTCCATCAGCTCTCAGGGCCACCCTCTGCTGGCTGGTGATGCAAACTCTTGGCAAAGTCCGCTGTGCAGTTATTATCTGTTCTCCTTATCTCGTATGTCACCATTTATCATCGTTATTTTAATAAATAGCATAATTACTATTTTTTAGTGTATAACTGCAAAATGATGGTTTTTAATAATATCTCTACAATGAACATTGTTATTCTTTTTAAACATAGCCAGCTATCATTCTCTCCTTAGAAATAAAGACATCAACTACAGTGGAATCTGCAAAGAATCTGAACAGGCAGATGCACGGTGAAGGTAAATCTTAGCCGTTCATGGTTTTTATTAGTGCCAGCTGATGGGTGGTCGATCATCTCTGCTTGGCAAGGTGAACCCCAAGTGTAACCTCTGAAATCACTGAGGCTTGTGGATTTGAGGTTATGGGTGAGGACATTTCACCCTACCAAATGAAAAATGAACAGAAGCCAACACAACGATAGTTGACATTTGGGAAGAGTTACTGTTTTACTTTTAAACCAAGTACAGTTATTTTGTATCACAGAAACAAAAATAAATATAAAAACTTTGGGTTAAAAATACAAACGAAAAGATTTAGGTTTCTCATTTCAAATAATCAGACATATGGCTGGTTTTACAGTTTAAAGCTCTTCTTGTGAACATATATACACATGTAGATATTTGAAATTCTGTGATTTTTTTCTACATGGGCCTTGGAGATTCATGTTTAAAGTAATTGAGTCAGTGCAAAGAGAGAAAAGAATTAGGAGGTTGTAACTGCGGAGACTGTATTGATTGGCTACTACTCTGCTCTGTCCTCAGTAACATTCTTTAGGCTGTTATTGTGCCTTTAGGTGACATTTGCTCTGCTAGGATCAGTCCTTTCTGCTTTGCTAAAAGTGTCAGTCCACGCAGAATTGAGCATAGTTAAAAAGAATCTTTCGGCTCAGCGCCTGTGGCTCAAGTGGCTAAGGTGCCAGCCACATACACCTAAGGTCGTGGGTTCAAATCCAGCCCGGGCCTGCCAAACAACAATGATGGCTGCAACCAAAAAATAGCCAGGCGTTGTGGTGGGTGCCTGTGGTCCCAGCTACTTGGGAGGCAGAGGCAGGAGACTCGCTTGAGCCCAGGAGTTGGAGGTTGCTGTGAGCTGTGAGGCCACGGCACTCTACCCAGGGGGACAGCTTGAGGCTCGTCTCAAAAAAAATAAAAAATAAAAAAAAAGAATCTTTCCCTGGACCCTGATCTGTAAGCCAGGATGCAAATATGCCCCGGTAGGTTTGTTCTGATACGTCTGATTGATAGGACCGTTTCTCGTATTGTTTTCATGGACTATTGCTTACATACAGTCATGTGATCCTCAGGACCACCCTCAGAATAATTCATTGTCCCTACTTCACAGAAAAAGAAACTGAGGCCGAGAGGCCCCGTGCCACACATCTGCAGAGTGGTGGTGCTGGCACGTTCATCCCAAGTCTGTTTGGGCCTACGACCTATGTTGTAAAACACTGCCTGGTGTCAATGTGTTTAAAACAGTAATATTCAAACTTTTCAAAAACAAGTGGAGTCATTTTTTCAAAATGAAAGATAAGCACAAACACATTGGAAAAAAATGAGAACCATTCCTCCCTAAAAGTTTTCTCTTGTTTGCTTCCAGGCTGTGGCATTTAGAAGGTGATATTTAAGTAAAACTGAAAGGAGGTGAGGGCGGTAGCAGTGCAGACGTCTGGGAATTGTGTCCAGACAGAAGGACCAGAGGTGTGGGGACCTTCAGGCAGGAGCATGCCGCCCCTCAGAGGCTGGGTGCTTGCTCAGATCAGAGTGAGCAGGGAGGGGTGGTTTGAAGTTGCAGAGGCTGCAGGGAGCTGGGTCATGGGGACGCTGCAGGCAGGACCCCCAGAAGGGGCCTCTGGGAGGGAAGTGGGGGTGCAGGTGATTTATGAGGAAGTGCACTGGGGTGAGGACCTACGTGAAGGAGCAGGAGGAAGCCGGGCAGTGGTGGGGACTGAGCTGAGATGCCGGCACAGCCACAGCCTGAACCCACACCCACACGGAGCACTGGGCCAAGAGTGGCCTTTCAGAGCAGGACCTATCAGGGCAAGATGTCTGAGCCTTGATAAGCCCATGTGGCTCTGTCACTGGATCCAGGCTGCCCTGTGAAGACTCTGTGACCTTGGGTGAGGTGACTCTTCTGCTGAGGCGATCCCTGCGGATGGCGACAGCTGTGGGCTGTCTGCCAATGGCACCTCCAGCAGCAGGGTCATCAGTCATTCTGAAGAGGATCTGGGCGGCACACACGTGGCACCAGTGTCCACGATGACCTTTCAGGCCACTGAAAGAATTTCGGCTTTTTTTATGGTGAAATGGAGAATCTCTGGATGGTTTTGAGGAGAGGAGTGGTTATAATATTTCCTCATGCAAGGAGCACTCTAGCTGGTGTTTTGAGAACAGGACATAGGAACGAAGTGAATGATGAGGCCGTGGCCGCCATCCAGGGAGGAGGGGACGGCACCTGCGGGTGGGGTGAGCCCCGGGCATCTGGCAGCCGGAGCCCACAGGCCTCCCTGCTGCTCAGAGCGCAGCGTGTGTGGGAGAGTCCGGGCTGAGCTGCTGGGTGTTGCCTTTAAGTCGCTGGCGGAGCTGGTGTGTGGAGCGCCTTGAGGAAAGTGAATGGACAGAACAGTGCAAGGGCTGAGTCCTGGGGTGCTCCAGCACCGAGAGCTCAGAAGTGTCAGGAGACGTTGGGGAGGTTTTACATCCCCCCTCCCAAGTTAGCTTAGTATCTGTTGACTCTGAGAAATATGAATCTAGTACCGTGGTGGTTTTTGAACTGGTCAGCAGTGTCCAAAGTTCCTGAAGGTTGCCTCAGAGGCTTCCAGGGAACTAAGAATTGAAGGTGCAGCAGAAGGGACCTTGGGGTAACAAGTGAAAAAATGGCTCCTCTGCTAAAAAATAGCTTAAAAATCATTATGAAGTTATTTTTAGGTAGAATAAATAAGGTGTCTTTTCAAAGACAGTGTTAGGACCGAACCATGTGGTTCTTTAAATTCTGCTGTCTCTATGTGCCAATCTGGGGAACCCAACCTTCCGTATCCCTTGTTTTATCCTGTTTATAGAATCTACTCGCACATTTTAGCCCCTGCTCCCCCACACCATCTTTCCCACTTCATTCTCCTTTTACGGTTTGCTGCAGTATCCCCAAGCTCCTCTACAGTCAACTTTACAATAATTTAATTTCAAACTATGTACGTTGAGTAGGCTTTTTCTAAAATGAACTTTTTTATGACTGGGAATCGATTTGTTAACGTCCATCCAAGGAAGTTATATTGTGAATTTTTGTACCTTTTTACAAAGGTACAAAAAATCTGGCTTTTTGACAAGTCTGACTATGTTATTAAAAATCTCAGTTCAATTCTTGCAGTAACTTCCTGGATTTCCAATAGACGGAAACTACTGAGTGTCAAGGTTTTAGTCGAAGTTATCAGAGAATAGTTGTTGCTTCGCAGAGGACAGATGCACCTGCCAGTGATGGTCTGCATGTCTCAGCCTCTATCAGCTGACGAGGAAACTTGCTACCGCACCAGAATCTTATCTTAGAATTTAATGATATATCTTCTTTTATTTGTACCAATGTTTAACTACCAGAATTTTGAAAAATGTTTTTCATTCCATATTCACACTCTGTTCCCTTTTTCTTTGGATAAAGAATTAGTGGCGTTGGTTAACTTCCTAATGTATTTGCAGACAACACTGTAAACTCATTATTATGGAAGAAAAAAGATGAGGAAACGTAACAGAGTGGACTGTTCCTTCTTTCGTTAAGGCCTCCGATTCCAGGAGTATGGTGGTGTCTGCGAAGGCCTGTTCTTTACAGACAGAGACCCTGTCTTCCTTTTTTCCAGGTAATGCATTTGCATGTAAGCATATAAATGATTTACAAATACCCTCTGGAAGTGAAACGTGCTCCCTGAGTGAGACTTTGGTACCAGAAGGGCCTTGCGTGTACTAACTTTGAAAACAGGCGGGCACCTTGGATTCTAGCTAAAAAAGAGTTGAAGTCGACTGTAAGTCAGTCAGACAAAACTTATTGATAAAACTAAAAAGAAAATTAGCATCTTGTGTTTCTTCCTAATTCATATTAATTTAGTTTTTGTGGAAATCTATATGTGGAAGAAATAAAAAGTGTGAAATTCCTGTATATGCATTTAACGTTTAGAAGGTAATAATCAAAACCAAAACTGGGGACGGCCCAGGTAAATACATTTGCAAAAGCAAACTTTAAAAAAATAGACATTTTTGTTAGTGTGTCTGTGTGCAGACCCAGTTCTTTATATCCTATTACTGGATACAGGAAGTGGTTCACAAGTGAGTTGCACAGCCAGGTTTTGCCGTGTTTGAGTTTGTGATGTGAAATTAAGTCTAGCTGGCATATTACCTGCAAGGCCAGTGTCAATATTTGCTCTGCTTTCAGGCTCTTCACAAAATCACAGACTGTTCTGTATAATTAGTGGTAGTATCAGTGGGGTAGTTTTTCTTGGGTGCCCTTAGTTAGCACTGGTTTGTTCCGAGGTCATATGAACCCCTTTGGTTAAGGACCCCTGAGCTCGACGTTCAGGTTTACCCAGATTATCTAGCTCTGCAGTGTTTACATTACTGGGGGTACACGGATGGCTGCTTATTCTGTTGAGCTAACCTTTGGTCTCTATCCTGGGCACTGCTTTTATTGGGCAAACCCAAAGGCAAGACTTTTTCCTCTTGGTTCTTTCAATTTCTTTGTTTCTAAGGTAATTTTCTTTCTGTGAAATCCAATCAAGTTTTAGAGTTGGCGCTCACCATCAAGGAACTTTGAGACACCACTAAAAATGATAATGGATGTCTAGGCCAGTTTTATGACAAATGGCATTAACAGAAATATTGGATATCCGCTGTTGACCACTTACATTTTAACCAGACCAAAACATACTGCTTGGTTTTTCAAACAAAATGACAAGTAGAAAAAGATTAAAGCATGCCATTAAAATAATTTAATAGCCAGGCATTCTTTTATGATGCCACAAATATAAGATATAGACTTTTGAAAATCACT